AGACGTACGTGGTTTGTCACGTCGTGTAACATCCTCATTAGTGTATCCCCTCCCTAAAGGTGGAGCATAGCGTTCCATAAGTCCTGAGACGCCATAGAGGTTGAGGGAATAGAAATGGGCAAGAGTATAAAAGAGACAATTTATGTATCACTATCAAAGCATTGAGGTTGGAAACTATAGTAAAAGCATAACAAATGTAGTCCATATTATCCCTTAATTAACAGAGGAGGTAAAATGTATGCAGGAATTATATACTATTTAAAAGGCATTTAAATAAAAGATAGACATTTATTACAAGTAAAAATATAGTTATAAGAGGGCACCGAAATCAAAATCGATATTTAACCTTTTTGGGGACAGTGTCTGCAGTTCGAAAATCCATTTTAACTCTTGTCTATCCAAACTGGAGGCACTGTCACCACCCCTCCAGTGGTTACTTATTTTGTCTATCCCCATAAACTCTAATTCTGTAGGGTTGGAATGGTGACAATCTAAAAAGTGTTTTGACACACTATGATTTTCAAAGCACTTTTTTATATTTCTAACATGTTCACTAATGCGTACTGTTAGAGACCTAGATGTTCTTCCTACATAGTGTAGGCTACATGAACATTTTAGTAGATAGATCACATTTTTTTTTCAAAGATTATTAGGGATTTGATTTTTAACTCTTTTATTTTTCTTCATAATTTTAGATTGTTTACACGCATTGCAACTTGATAAAAACCTTTCTGCGATTTGGACCATTTATCTAAATATTATCTTCTTTATCTCTTTCTATATAAGTTAAAGTTAAAATATGTTTAAAATTCTTAGCTCCTCTAAAAAAAAAAATGTAGGCTTAGAACCAGGAAAATCATCTAACTCATAATCTTGTTTTAAAATGTGCCAATTACAATTAATGATCTTTTTAAGACATCCTACATTTGAACTATAATTAAAAATAAAAGGAATTTGTTTATTCTCATTAACCCGTGTCTTTATATTTTAAATGAGGTACTGGAGGCCAACTTTTAACCTTAACAAATTGGAAAAGATGTAATATCATCATCAACTATAGACCAGCTAATAGAAAATACTAAAATAAAACCATTCTCGGATCTAACAATAGAGTTTGACCTTCCTTCATCTGAGCCTTTTAATTATCTAAGTGGGAAAAATACACTGATGCAACATCTAAGGTTTAGTAAAACAGGAACAAATGAGACTTCATGTAACATTTTTATCAAAATATAGTCCATAAAGTTCTTTCCAAAGCAGTGGGTATGATCAAAATGAATAAAAATGACGATCAAATTAATGCTCTGGCAAAATGGGAAAATGAATTAATTATTCAAATTATGAGTATGGAATGGTATAAATTACTAATAGACATAAGGAAAGCTATTCATTGTGTACATTTGCAGGGGACTCAATATAAATGTATTAACAAGTGGTATTTGGTGCCTTCAAGGGTAGCTAGAATGTTTATTTTGACATCTGATATGTGTTGGAGGTGTGAAAAGAGTAGAGGCTCATATTTACATATATGGTGGAGTTGTACTGAGATAATGGCTCAATGGAAAAAGATATTCGTTTTTATACATACAGTGATAGAACATAGACTCAGGTTTGTGCCAGAGGTGGCTCTATTACATTTGAGATGGCCTACCCTAAAAAAGATAGAAAAGAACTTCATCATTATACATTGTTTTGTAGCTTTTAAAATTCTAATAGCCAGAAACTGGAAAACTAAAACCGTTTCAGTATGGAAAAATATAATAAACAAATTAATGTTTCAATTATGAATGGAACTGGCAATCAATGAATTTTCAAATGCTAATGAACAAAACAATATAGAGATGAATTTTAATTTTGAATACTGCAGCTTTTTAAAATTTTGTTACTTGATTATTACTTTACTATCCTGTTAAACATCTACTCATTAAAGATGTTACCAATTACTGCGGTCGCAGAGGGCACAGCTGCGATCGGGCATGTCACTCAAGGGGCCCGGCCGCCCTTCGGACCCCTGCAACTGTAATGCTGGCCAGGCTCGCGTGGTACAACCGCCGGTGCCGCATTGAAGGGACCTATCGGGTGGCCCATGCTGTTAGGGCCACTTGATGACAATGAATTTCAACGGGGCCTGGTCAGCGCTGCAGCGCTTTAATAGTGCGACCAGGCCCCGTGTGATGATGTCAGAGCTTGGAGGGAGTGACTGCCCTGGTCACTTTCTCCCAGCTTTCATAGAGAGCCGCGCGGGAGGAGGAAGGAGAGGAGGGAGTCAGAGTTCCCACTCTGACTCCCATCAGCTGGAGCCAGCCGCTGGACCCAGAGAAAGTCACCTTGAAGGTAGGAAGCAGGAGGGTGACTAAAACATTTTGCATGTGTGTGTATGTTTGTGTGTTTGTATGTATATCTGTATGTATGTGTGTGTGTGTGGATGTATGTGTCTGTTTGTATGTGGAACACCCAATCAGTTCAGGTTCATCCCAAACAGGCAGGCATATGATAGCACTGACCTGAAGTGGTAAGCAATCCACATAAAAAAAGCAGAGAAAACATTTAACAGAATGGAGTGGCCATACATGTCTGGCGTTCTGTTCCACAAGGGATTGCCTTGAGAGTTCCACATAGTCATACAAATCCTATGGTGTACAGATTCTCACTCAGGTAACATCACCAGCCACATTTGAAATTATTAATGGCTCTTATAGATTACACTTCAGCATACACTGTTACACTCTTTCTTACATCTCTTCCAACTACTTAACTCGTTTAGTGAGCTACCAGGTTTTAAAATAATTATTGACAAATCCCGTACTATGCCTTTTAGTCTGTGGCCCAAATACACTTGATTTACTGTTTTCAGATCACCCCCCAGTCTACCATATAATGGGAGCCACTTGACAGCTGACCCCCTAAAAACACTGTATTCTGGAAATTACATCCCACTAATTAACAAGTTAAACATGGATCTTAAGTAGTGGCATACTTATTTTATTTATTGGGTACCGTATTAACTGTTTTTACTTTAAACTCTCCCAATACTGCCAGAAAGGTTTATTTGTGCGTTTGCAGGGTAGTGTATATGTGGCTGCAGTGTTGTGTGAGGATTGTGTGTGCAGGGGGTTTGTTTATGTATTTACATATTGTTTTAATTAAAAAAAAAAGGTTGTGCTGCATCGAGTAACTATTTAAAGCTATCCTTTATAATACCCACGTTCTGGTAATTTTATTTGTACAGTTTGTATGCTTTATTTTATAGCAAATCATTTGAAAGCTTATTAAATCAAGGCCATCATGTGGTCTCCATTGTGTGGTTAATAAAATAAACCTTAATTGATAAAAAGACAGAAATTTCTGTGTATTTTTTTTCATTAGAAATATTAATCCTGGAAGAAATCGCTGCCACCCTTTCCACATTGTACACCTAGTAAGGTTGTGTCTGTGTTCATAAAATTCTAATACAAATCCTAACAATTGTTTATATAGAGAGCTAGGGGATGGGAAAAATATATGGGGGAATTTAGAAAAAGATTAAGAAAAAAAACTGAAAAGTGATTCACATGTCCATAGTACCTGTTTATATTTCTCTATTGTTATAATCACATGGTTTATTGTATTTAAAGGGACACTATAGTCACCAGATTAACTACAGCTTAATGTAGTTGATCTGGTGAGTATACTCATTATATGCAGGCATTTTCATGCAAACACTGTCTTTTCATAGAAAAGGCAGTGTTTACATTGCCCCTAGGGACACCTCCAAGTGGCCACTCCTCAGACACCTGCACAGTAGGCAGCACTGCCGTTCAGTGTCTCCACAATCTGTATGTAAACGCTTAATTTTCCTCATAGAGATGCATTGATTCAGTGCATCTCTACGAGGAGGTGCTGATTGGCCAAAACAGTGTTTGGTCCCTCCCCCTTTCCAATAGCTTTTCCTATGGGAAAGCATTGGATTGGCTAAAAATCGGGAATTCTGATGATGTCACCAAGTGGGAGAGCTAGCACTGGCGGAACTGCGCGGCGCTGGAATTAAGACGAGTTTTAATTGCTTTTAAGGGAGCTGAGGGTGTGCAAGCCAACTAAATGATGGGTTAAACACTATAGGGTCAGGAATACATGTTTATATTCCTGACCTATAGTGTTCCTTTAAGAAACTATTATTTCCAGAAACTCTAGGAGGCCAGGAATGTGCTGCTTAGTGGTTTCTTCATACATTCTTCAAAGGCTTATAGTAAAATACAAATGCAAACATTTTTTTATCTGAAGTTGGCCTACATCTCAGACATGTTTTTAATGGGAATTTTTAATACATATGAATTGTGTATGGTTGTTTTAGTTCCCCATGACAACATAATGTCTCCACTACCTGCCTCTTTGCTCTCCTGGCTTGTTGGAATTTTACAGAAAAAAAAATAAAAAATCAGACATTGTTTTAATTAGAACTTATTCCTTTCTTACAATGACTTTCTTACAATAGTAGGTGCAATAGTTGGTTTTTGTTTTTCCATCCCATTTTCTTTGGGGGTGGGGATTTTTTTTTTTTTTATTCAGAGTTTATTATTTTCCACTAATGAGTCCTATACTATTTAAAAAATAAATAAATAAATACGTCTTATTTAGTTTCCTCCAACACTTATATGTTTATACATTTTCTGGTAAAAATGGCTTTATTGCGTGCACAACTAAACTAAGCTAGTTAATTGGAGTTTAAATTTGACTTTCAATTTAAAATGTAAAATTACTATTATCTAGACCCCATCTGAGACTACTAAATGGTAATCATTACATTAAAGTATTACTGTAACTCTTCAATCTGTTTTTTTAAGTTAAAATGCTCTATTGGCAAAAAATGTTTTTAAAATCAGCGCCAGGCACTGACCTCCCTCCTCCGTCTGTCATTTCAGGGGGCCTCTGTGTTCCAATCACAGGCTTCCGAAGATTTGCTGGTGAGGGGAGGGAGAGGGGGGGGGCAGGGGAGGGAAGTTTAAAAAAACAAACCTAAATGCAGAGAAACAGGGAGTGGATAACGAGCTCTGCCTGCAAGGTGAGAAGATAAGCACGTCTGTCGTCAGCATGCAGTGTGCATTTTTTTTGCACAGAATTGACACTGGGCAGCCTGGAACAAAGTCAAGCTGAGACACTGCACACAAATACTACAATGGTTATTCAGGGGTTTCAAATATTTCAGGTGGTTCAGAGCATTTGCTGTTGGCATGGGAAGTCAGCCTGACAATACATAAGGGAACAGGACCTACACTATATTAGTCCAGTTTAATATGATGAGGGTTATTTGTGCTGTGATCCCCTTGCCAGGGAAAAGTTATGTAAAATTACTTATAATTTCCTAAAGACTGTAAGCTCGTTTGAGCAGGGCCCTCTTCAACCTATTGTGCCCATAAGTTTTTGTGATTGTCTCATTTATTGTTAACTCTCCCCCTTTGATAATATTGTAAAGCGCTGCGGAATATACTGGTAAATACCAGTAATAATAATAATAATAATATAAAGTGTGGCCTGTTTAACCCTGCATACCTTTTTGTATGACGCATCATAACTTACTTGCTATTATGAGAAAATTCTATTCGATCATATGATTATTGTATATGCTTTCTGTTTCTATTGACCTGGATAACCACATTCTGGAGCTTTCTGTTATCTCTAATGTTGGTATTCTTATATTTTCTACTTACCTGTATGCAGCTTGTCTTTAATAAACAATTATTTTCAGAAACAAATGCGTGGACCCAAGGTCCAAAATATCTGGCGGTGTAGGTATTTTGGGTATCTGCACTCATGCATAATAACTATATTTTACCGAGGACATGGCCTGTTTCACACTACCATATTATATGGATGAAATGCTGTCATAGATTGTAATTTTGACTTTTATGTTACTTTGGTGGGGTTCTACCCCAATCAGCTTCAGTCTGCTTATCATGCTTTATATATGTTATTGGATTGGCAGTGAGGAGGTAATAAATATATGTTTACTCTTTATGTGTCAAATGTTGCATGATTAATGCCTGCCTTAATAAAGAGATTTAAGAACAAAGAAATGGACAGAAACATTAATTTGTCTGAATAATGGAAAAAAATGGTAATTGTATATTTGTTTTCTGCCAGTGAAGGGGTACCATAAAAGGGGTTATTTTGGATGCCTGGAAAAAAAAATAATAATATTGTAAAATATATTATCATTATTACTGTTACTATTCTAAATGCTAAACTTGAATTATTATTTTTTTTTATTTTTTTATATTAGTTACATGATATTGGTAAATCACTAAAGACCTAACCACTAACTGCTTTCCATCACTTTAAACCAGGCTTCCCCAAACTCCGGCCCTCCAGATGTTGCTGAACTACAACTCCCATGATTTTATGAATGAAATAGATAGGCTGAGAATCGTGGGAGTTGTAGTTGAACAACATCTGTAGGGCCAGAGTTTGGGGAAGCCTGCTCTAAACAAATAAGTAAACTAAACCAGCTGATAAAATTTGTTTTAAAGATAACATAAATAATGTCATTTCATATAGTCTCCTAAAATAAGGTAAAAAAGGGATATAAAGAGATTTAATTAAGTTCATTTTATGTTTTGCAGAAACCAGCAAACATCCTGGTAATGGGGGAAGGTCCTGAGAGAGGAAGAGTCAAGATAGGTAAAGCAAAATCACTTGGTTTGAGTTGCAGTTTAGGAATTTAATTTATATAGTTAGGATTATATTTAAAAAAAAAATTAAATCAGTATTGAGAATGTTAAATATAGAACACTAACCAGAAATTATATGAGACAGTAGATAAAGTTGTTTAAGATTTATTTTCAGTCTGTAAACTGGTCTATTTTTTAGTTTGGGTCACAAGGGTAGTTCATAGATTTTAGAATTACTGTAGGTTAGTGTCCAAACTGACACATGTTTATGAAGAAACTCTCAGATGGTCATATATTAAAGGCCGTAATTAAAGAATTGGACAGACTGAAATTCTATTTGTTGGCTTCTCAAGCTTGAGACGACGCTCCTCATCTTAAGGCACCCATTCAGAGAAAATCAATGTTATTCACATTTCTCAAAGCTCTGCTCATGGAATACCCAGCTCTAACCCATTTACTTGGGTCTGGAAACTGCACACCTATGCTTGCATAATAAAAACTGCTAATCAGCTTGTAGCTGAGACATTTACAGCAAGCCAGGTTATCCACTGCACTCCCAAAATCCAAAGATCTTTTTACATTCATAAAATAAAGAACATCAATATTTAAACTCTTTAAACTATCATTTGAATCATTGTAACATAACACCTATCATATATTTTACATTTTACATCCCTAATTTTACTGTTTCATAATTGACTTTCTCCTTCATGTGGTTGTCTCCAAACCTAGGCACAAGAGTTTTTGTGGCCCGAAAGATGTCCCTTTTCTCTTCCTATGGAGAAGGAAAGGAATTGTGCCAGGTATAAAAGGGCTGACTGACCTAAAAGGGTGTTATTCTTGCACAGATTAGGTTTGAGGCATTACAAAAACTGTAGGACTGTCAGACTTGTGGTTGCAAGAAGTATGTGGAACTAGGTGCTGGGAGATTAATGAACTGCCCTATCATGTTTTCAGAGTTCTCTGAGAAAACTCTGGCATCATTTGTGAGGCATTTCTATCTCTGCTTTATGCAACTACCCATGCATGCATCCTAGTGTCTAAACATCTGAAATGGGAAAACAGTGGCATTCATTTTATATTTCCAGGTAATATGCTTTGCCTACAAATAGTGCGCGATTTAAACACCATAACATTTAAACTGTTGAAAACTCTCTCTCTCTTTCACTATTACTTTTTGATCCCTTCATTTTTTTTTTTGCATATTTCTGTTTTGCAGCCTTTAAAGATTGTTTAAATCACAATTTGTTTGCATCAGTTTACACTCAATACCCTATAATAGCAAAGAAAAAAGCAAACACATTTTTATTTTTTATTATTTTGCAAATGTATTAAAAGAAAAACTGAAATATCACATATGTATTTAGACCCCTTGCTCTAATATTTTAAGGTGCATTCTCAAGAGCACAGTGGCCTCCTTAATTATTAAAGGTAAGAAGTTTGGAACAACCAAACTCTTCTTAGAGCGGCCACATGGCCAAACTGAGCAGTCAGGAGAGAGGGCCTTGGTAAGAGAAGTGACCAAGAGCCTGATGGTCACTCTAAGTTAACTCAAGAGATCATGTGTAAAGATGGGCAAAACTTATGGACGGTCAACCATCACAATTACACTTGGCTGATCTAGCTATGGCAGACTGGGCAGACGGAATCTACCTCACTGCAAGACATATGAAAGCACCTAAAGAATTCTCAGACTATGAGACACAATATTCTCTAGTCTAATGAAATGAGGATTGAGCTGTTTGGCCTCAATTCAAAATGTTATGTCTAGAGGGAATAAGGCAAAGCTCATCACCTGCACAATACCATCTCAACAGTGAATCATGGTGGTGGTAGTGTCATGCTTTGTTTTGGGGGGTTTTCAGCAGCAGGAACTAGGTGACTAGACAGGGTTGAGGTAAAGCTGAACACGCACAATATAAATATTTCCTTAAAGAGATGCTATAGGTATCAAAATAACTAGCTTAGTGAAGCAGTTATGGTTTATAGATTATGCCCATGTAGTCTTACTGCTCAATTCTCACCATTTCTGTTTCTGTTTATGCAGCCCTAACCACACCTCCCCTGGCTGTAACTGACACAGCCTGCATGAAAAAAAGGTTTAATTTTCAATCAGGGGTTAACTTGCTTTAGAAGCTTGTTTTCCCTTCTCTGTAAATTAAACTTTAATCACACACAGAGGGCTCGTGCAGGATCTAGAAGGCTATAAGAAATTCTAAACTAAACAGATTGTGCCGTAAAGAAAGTTTAAACATTAGATCGTAAACTCAGATAGAGCCGAAGGTTCACCTTTCAACAGGACAATTATCCTAAACACACAGACAAGACAACGCAAGATTGGCTTAGGACAACTCTGGGAATATGTCCCATCTTGAAACCAATCAAACATCCCCACCCAGCCTGACAGAGTTTGAGATGATCTGCAGAGATGAAAGTCAGAAACTACACAAATCCAGGTATTTAAAGCTTGTCACATCGTACCCAAAAAGACTTGAATCAGCCAAATGTGCTTCAATTGTGATATTTACATTTTGTCTGTTTAACATATTTGCATTGGTGTCAAAAAATCTGTTTTATTTGTCATTATGAGGTATTGAGTATAGAGGAATGTGAAAAAAAATCTCTTTTTAAGGATATTTATCACTTTATATATTAATTCTTTATATGAAAGGCAGTTGGGATATTTTGTGTAATGATCACTAAAAAAAAAAAGTAAATGTAGCCAAAGCATTTAATAAAATCTCAATATAGCTCACATTTCTTTTGATCACCTAAGATTGTGACTAAAAATAATTTATGTGCTGCTAAATGCTAAGGTAGTACCCACTAACAATAAAATAACTGCCTATTTAAACTAACTTTTGGTATTTTGAAGATATACAGATACAAAATAAAAGCTAAATGACATTTAAAGGTTATAAGCTCCCCCCCCCCCTCTTCTGTCACCTGTTTACATATGGACAAATTACTCTGTCCATTATACATGTTACTACAAAGGTTATTTGTAATATGTTTTTTTTTAATAATGCTTCTGCAATATTTCTCTTGTCTTCATTAGCTGACATGGGTTTTGCCAGACTGTTCAATTCTCCTCTAAAACCACTAGCAGACTTGGATCCAGTTGTGGTGACATTTTGGTACAGAGCTCCAGAATTGTTGCTCGGTGCACGACATTACACTAAGGCCATAGGTAAGTGTTTCCATTGTAAAATTAATCTCTTATATTTGCAAATACACTAAGTTTCCAACCTTACGTTTACGGTATATTAAATACTAATGTTATTTGCATTTTCACAACTTAAATAAAAGAGGACAATGCTGCTACACTGGCTTTCTGATTTCTGTAAGTAACAAATCTGTTCAGATGTGATTTAAAGGAACACTATAGCTTACAAACATGTATTCCTAATGCTATAGTTTAAATCTACCTATTTGGTGTATACCTCCCACCTCCCGTGAGGTGATATTCACTTACCAGTAATCCCTTACCAAGTTGGTCTCATTGTGACCGCTTTGCCTCCCTGGCTGAGGTGCTCAAATTTGATAATTTTATTCAATCCATTGATTTCCCATAGGGAATCATTGGGAGGCTAGTGTGAATGAGTAGACGCAATATTTGATGGATAACGGAATCTATCTCCGTTCTCACTGGAAAGCACCTCTAGTGTTGGTCATATCACTGTTTAATAGATATACCCCAAATTAAAACTTGCATGCATTTAATTATACATGTTTTCATTGGGGGTATATCGAAAAATACTCTGCAAAACCCGCAGTTCTTTTGTCTGCAGCCTTTGCAAGCCCTCCCCTTCTAACCCCATCCAGACTTTCCATGGTTGTCCAATCACAGACTTCTCAATGCAGCTTAGTGAGAAGTCTTTGAAAGGCAGGTGCTCTTGGCAGTTGCTGCCTCTTGAGTTTAGCTCCACTGAGCTAACCAAAACAGAAAGTAACATTACCGCTTGTCTACTTGAAAGCCAAGGGGGTGTTACCATTTTAATTTATAAACGTGCCAATTTCTAATAAAATCTACACTTTTTGCAAAATGAAAACAGAGGGCACACTCTTCACACAAAGCTTTTCAGCAAGATTAAGTGCTTTAGTGGTCTGGAGTGTCCCTTTAAACTATTGCGTGATCCGATCTTTGTTGCTCTGAAGGGATTAGAATGTGAGGAGCTAGTATACAGATCTCTAAAGATATCTGGAATTCAAGTCTCACTGCAATACTTCAGGCATCCAATAAACTTTGTAGAACATCGCATAGTATGCAGACTGACTGGCTACATGTTTGCAGAAAGATTTTAATATTTACTTGTCACTGATCCTTTAATTATAAACTTTTTTTTGCTTACATGTTTATGGGGAATGTTCAAGGCTGAGAGCTGAAGCAGTGATCCAGTTACTCCCCTAATCACAGCCTGCTTGGAGAGTAACACATTATTGTCTATGTAAGCAAATTAGGATCCAAATGTGTATTTGTGTACTTCAGCATTGAGGCAAGAAACATTTTCACAGTGTTGTTTTATCCATTTAATGGATAAATGCAAAAAAAAAAGCATGGTGATAACATTTAAACTTTAGATCTAGCAATCTGGCTAGCACAATGTATAAGTGGGATGTTACTGTCACCACAAAGATTATTCACTAAAATTCCAGTTGGATGTTAAAATTCAAAGTGAATTCACAGGGGATTCCAAATTGTTGCCAAAAATAGTCAAACTGAAAGCACTACTAACTTGTTTTTTTCCCCAATTCAGTTATTTTGACCTAAAGTTTGAAATTAATTTACTGACAGCGTGTAATTTTTCATAAAGTGTTCTTGAACAGTTAACATAAAAGGGAATCATTATCATTCTCTGGCAATTACTCTATTAAAATTGAAAATATAACTTGTGGTAATCTGTTTATTTTCACGTGATGCTGTGTTTTCATTTAAATTATAATTATAGATTTAGCAAATTACATCGCAATTCAGTTCCATCCAGGCACAGCCAGGGCACACATTGCAAATGAGAATAAGGCATAGAAACATTGTTTCCTTTTTTCTGTTTTGCTTATGCTTTCTCATGGCTGACTAAGAGGGGCAATGGAAAACGCTTTTAAGAATAACATACAAGCAGCATAAATGAACTGACAGCCTTCAGGACAGCCCAATTTTGAGTAGACCATGCAGAGAGACCTTTTGCATGGTATTAGTGTATTCAACATAGAGCACTCACGTCTAATGATGCACTTGCCCTGTGCAGGTTATGGATGTCGAGAGAGGACCTCAATATTGGGATTGTCCAACCCAAATCAGGACAATTGGAGGCCTGTCCAGAATATATCTTTGAAATAGGAAAGTTATTTTTACAGCACTAATGTTAAGCATAGAAACCTTATTTTACCCCAATTACATCCACAGCATAAGCAAGTTGTGCATCTCTGGGGTCTTAAAGGGATCCTATAGAGCCCGGAAAACAAACCCATTTTCCTGGCATATAGGCTCCTGGAGTGCCCCCCTCCCGAAGGGATGAAGGGGTTAAAACCCCTTCAGCCACTTACCTGAATCCAGTGCCAATGTCCCTGTGCTGGGTCAGGCTCCGCCCAAGCTCTGTTTGACTTCGACGGGGGAGACCTAATGCGCATGCGCTGCAATGGCCGTGCGTGCATTAGACCTCCCCATAGGAAAGCATTATTCAATGCTTTCCTATGGGGAAAATCTGACGCTGAAGGTCCGTGAGGACGTCCAGCGTCCGATAACGGACCAAAAGTCTGTTGGATTCTGGAAGCCCTCTAGTGGCTGTCTGGTAGACAGCCACAGAGGGCAGACTTGAGCTGCAATGTAAACATAGGGTAGACTGCTCACAGTGTCCCTTTAATGCAAAATATAGGGCAGAAGAATAAATAGATGTGTTTCATTAAACTATGTGTTTCTCCTAAAGAGGTCTCTCTGTGCTTATCCAGTTACGTTATTTACCTATTTTACACAAACTAATATTCCCCAAATTTTAGAGCTGCTGACATTAGCAAGCAGCTCCTATTAGGTGGCAACTCCTAACAAACATTTTAATTTTATTAAGGGGTGTGGCTTTATTAATTTAATTTGTCACTCATCACAAATACATATTTGTTAAATATAGGGGAATGGTAGACATAATATTAAAATTCCTGTGACGCGAGGATACTGCTTTAAAGCACCCCTTATCCATTCTTAGTTCACTAGGGCATTTCTTTTAATACATATTATACTGAACTTAAATAACATGTCTTTTAAGGATCTTGGTTATTCAACAGTGTCTTCTACTGTAAGGATATGGAACAGCGCATTAAAGGACCACTCTAGGCACCCAGACCACTTCAGCTTAATGAAGTGGTCTGGGTGCCAGGTCCTTCTAGGGTTAACCCAATTTTTTTATAAACATAGCAGTTTCAGAGAAACTGCTATGTTTATGAATGGGTTAAGCCTTCCCCCTAATCCTCTAGTGGCTGTCTCATTGACAGCCACTAGAGGCGCTTGCGTGCTTCTCACTGTAATTTTCAGAGTGAGAGCACGCAAGCGTCCATAGGAAAGCATTGTAAATGCTTTCCTATGCGACAGGCTGAATGCGCGCGCAGCTTTTGCCGCGCGTGCGCATTCAGCCCAGGAGGAGGAACGGAGGAACGGAGGAGGATCGGAGGCAGAGAG